ATATGGGTATAATAGTACGTCAGTATAGGTACTAAATTATTATACATTTAAACCAAATTGACCGAGAGGTTTGTTCGAGTGAATCACATTCGATAGTAACAACCTCTCGATCGTTTCTATCACCAGTTACCAAGGTAACGATTTGTTACTGCGCATATTGGTCGCTTATCGTTTCACCCTTATCGCGGTTACCGATTTTCGGCCCAATAATTGGTGTCTGGCATCCAGATCATCGAATTTTTCCATTTCGAAATCACTTGCAAAGTGCAAAGACTGTTGTAGTTCCACGAAGCAGTTCCCTCGGTGCACTTCATCATAGCGTGACTTGGTTCAAAACTAACCAAACGAAGCCATCGTCTCGATCCGGTCGGTCGAATATTAATATACAATAGTTGAATTTAAAAATTAGTATCATAAATAGACCGTATTCTACTAAACGGATTCGAGGGCCACTGATAAGGTAGTCGATACCGGTCCAGCGTATATCTTAGTCCGCGGTTACCGCTTATTGGTCGCGTGTCGTTTCACCCTTATCGTGGTTACCGATTTTCGACCCAATCGGTGTCTGGCTTCCTGATCATCAAATTTTGCCATTTCGAAATCACTTGCAAAGTGCAAAGACTCTTGTAGTTCCACGACGCAGTTCCGTCGTCGCACTCTGCCATATGACATAACTTGGTTTGAAACGAACTAGCAGTCGAATTCTGCGCCGTTTGGCAGTAATATATTTTAAGTGTATTCCGCGTACGTCCTGTATTTGTCGTACTATATAGTGATATAATAATATGATCACAACAGTTAAGCCGTAAAACAATGCGTTATTACAATATTAGGTACAATAGGTACAACAGTTGTTATTTAGTCGTAAAACAAATACACCTATATACCGGACAAAGATATTTTTTTTTAGTTTTTCAGTGACTTACGATAATATCGTGAAAACCTATATAAGTCTGTATACAAGACACACGACTCGTGTTATAAGAACATTTTTTTTTATTATTATTTTACAAAATATGTTCTCACTATTTTTACTCTGGTGTTTTCACAGATTTATTATCGTTTTAGCATTTTATAGCCGTGCGTTATTTTTCAAGAATATCAAATCGTATTTATGGAGTTATATTGAAATTGCATCGTTTCGCTGTATATTGCAGCGTGTTCGTATAGTTGTAAAGTTTGTTTATCGACATCTAAAATGTTCAACGATAAATCCGAATACTCGACATTAAATACGACAGATTGATCACATTTCGTCTTAAATATGAACCAAACATCGGACAATTGGAACAGATGCTTTTTTTCAATATTTTCTACAATATTATATCATAATGAAAGTGTACGTCACGGGCAGTTAAAACCGTAACCGATTGAGGTATCAATATTTCTCGGTCAAAAAACCTCGGAAAATGTGTAAAATTATTTTTCCATACAAGACAACGTTTGATTCCGTGTCGACAAACTACTTAAGTGCACTATGTGTATTTTTGATTTTTTGAATTGGCGATCGTGTCCCCCTTTGAGACAATTTACAGAACATCAGCTCAATAAATCGTTTGTTTTTATATGCATTTAAGTATTATTATTATAAATTATAATACAAATATCATGGTGACGAGGCGTCTTGGATAGGCAATCTAGCTACAGCTAGATAAATAATAATAATAATATTGGCATCTTAATATTACTACCTACGCACAGTATACAAACTTATCATTAGCACACAATATTATTCGCATGAAAATTTCCGACATCGCCGGCTACAAAAATCAATATAAGTGGACAAACACAATATGTCAAATATTGTTTACCGAAAGAATTTTGAAAATTCCAATGCGGTGGAGCGGAGACACCAGCCACCTATGACAATTAGGTTTGCGTCCAGTCGATTTTCACCACATACGTCTGTCGGGGGTGTTTGCATAATATTTTGATGTTTATTTTTTTAAAACGTGTCCCGTGTACAACTTTTCCCGTTCAACAAAACGCGTAGTATGACGTATGACACACATGTTATATACCTACGTATAAAATAGTACAGTGTGGCGCGATATCTATTATACACTGTTGTTTATGACCATTTTACAGGAAAACTTCGTTAATTTTTCTTTTCTTCCACCGCGCCCTCTCGAGAACATCAACTTACCGTGACGCTTCGGTCTCGATAAATTAAAAGCTAAACCCGAAAAAAAAACGTAATAACTGTAAAAGGGATTCACCCCGTTAAAACGACATCGGTGGGTAGGTAGGTCTTTTGGCATTTATATATGTGTATTATTATATTATATTATACAATATAATATTTTTGTCACTTTTCATTTTCCGGATATTACCGACGCAGGCTTACTCTCTCAGTCATGTCCCCCCCTCCCCAACACCAGGCACACCCCTCTGTGACCCTTGCAGGCGACCTCCCAAACTATATATATATATAGACCTCCTCCATAAGGTACATTATTAAACTTATCTCCGGGTGTTTTGCTACTATAAATATAATAGTGGCGGCGGCCAAGGGCGCGCGGGTTATTATTATTATTTTTTTTGTTTTGTTATTACAACTCATTTTCAAAACCTTCAATCCCCTCCAGTGTCCCTTATTCTACTTAATTTAGCAATTTACTAATTTTTTTTCTTCATTGATTAAATGACCCCCAAATACACGCATTAATTTTTCCTCCACGACTGCAGCGTAGGTACCCCGCAAATTCCGAACACGTTTAAGACGTTTCTTTTTCTCCTGTACCACTCAAATTAATTGCCATGTTTTCGGCACTCGGACGAATTCAATGTCGTTATCATTGTTACGACTACGTCAAATACTATAGGATGCGTTCACAAAGGAAAAAGTGAAGGCACTGCGGTAAATAAAAGAGTTAAAAAACTGAAGTTATAGAAATGTATGATCCAATAGATTAGTCTCATCTCCTGCGAACTGAATTAGAAATATGTAATATGTATATAGGCTACTGAGTACATGCGCGTTCATTAAAAATAATTGAGGGGTGTTCATAGTAGTCTTCATCTTGTAGTGATCGATGGTTGACATAATTAAATAAACAACTATTCATTTTCGGGGGGGGGGGGGGGGTTGACCCACATACAAACCTGACTGAGTAACATAATATTAGTAACCGAGTTATGGAGTGTACCTCGATTTTGTGCACACCTGGTACATCGACGGTGACGTAAAACGAATGCACTGGTTACAAAACTCCGGTTTTGCGGTTGATGATAACGATGTGTGCGTGTATACAAAACAAATACAAAATTATAATACAATAATATAAACGCATTGACGACGAATCGATAAAGCGTACTCGAATAAAGCGCGTTTACTCTACTGCAATATAATATATTATGTTAATATTTTAACCGAATCGCACAATATTATGCAAGTCATAACTCGGTAATTCATTGTATTAATATTTATTGATTTGCTCGGATTTATTTGTTCATAATACTCGATAGAAATAATTACACGGACAATATACCGATTGATACCAAACCTGTAGATTTATTTACACCGAATTAAACCATACAGCGGTATAATAATGACGTGTTTGTAAGACGTATAATATTTGAAATTTATAACTCGTAGGTTCCTACGACGTGATTTAGACACATAGCACAATGTAGTTTAAGAGCGCTTATCAATCGCGTTTCGAAAAACCACAAGACAAATAATTATTTGTATTGTAATTTTTTCTAAAAATTCAAATTTCTTTTTACACCCTCGAATCCACGTTTCGGCGGCCAAAATTGTAATATTACAAATACGTAAAGATTTTTTGTAATCTCGGGTTAAAATTGTATCGTATTTTGATTGTATATCGTTATCGATTATCATTTATCTGACTATATAATAAGTCGATCAATGTTGTCGAATCATAACCGAATCGCATAATAGTATGCAAGTCATAACTCGTTAATTCATTGTATTGGTATTTATTGATTTGCTCAGATCTATTTGTTCGTATAATACTCGATAGAAATAAATACATGGACAATATACCTATTGAAACCAAACCTGTAGATTTATTTACACAAAACTAAACCATACAGACCGGTATAATGACGTGTTTGTAAGACGTATAATATTTGAAATTTATATCTCGTAGGTTCCTACGACGTGATTTAGACACATAGCACAATATAGTTTAAGAGCGCTTATCGATCGCGTTTCGAAAAACCAAAAGACAAATAATTATTTGTATTGTAATTTTTTCTAAAAATTCAAATTTCTTTTTACACCCTCGCAAGCCCGGATTAAGGGGGGGGCCAGGAGGGGCCATGGCCCTGGGCCCACGGATATTAAACAAAAGTGGGCCCTTGGCGAATAGTACTTTTTTTATTAAATCAGAAATATTTGGATATAGTAATAATAGTATATTTCGTAAATCAAAACTCAAAAGAAACATGTAAAATATAATATATTAAATGCGATAAAATACAAAGATTTGCAATGATAATAAATAATAATATAAACTTATATCATTATTATTATTATACATTAACGTTTCCTATAAGCTATACGCCTATACATAGAGTACTCTGTGGTGGGCTAAATACTATATTGATAATGGATATGGAATATGGATATCACCTATGTTATTATTATGCTATCGACTATCGTCTATTTTTAGCAGGATGATAATGATAATGCAATGGAATTATAGGAATCACGAGTACAGTCTGTACTACAGTGAATACCGTCGATTACGATTTACGACGGTTGAAACATCATTACTAATAATAGATTTAGTTATCAAACTGTTTTTGATGATAAAACATATTCCTCAATAATTATTATTTATTAACCAGACGAATTCTATTTATGTTATTTTTCTACGATAACAATACTGAAACAAGTCTTGTCTCTTGTATAGTCTTCAGTCGAAGTCATAATAACGTTTAACGTTTAACAGTGGTTAGTGTTAGTGTTTTGTTTTACAAATACAACTTATAACTTATATTATTGAAATTTGAAGTAAAAGTCGAATATGAGTGGCTGTAAAAAATATTTAAGCGGTGCTCAGAAGAGAAAAAAGAAGAAAGAAGATCTTTTAATGACATCTGCTGTTAAGTGCAATAAAATAACTGGATTTTTTTCTTTAACTAATGAAAGTGACGATAAACTAGTTTCAAATGTTATAGAAATAGATCATAGTATCTCAAAGGAAAATATAAACAATGAAACTAATATCAATTGTAAGTACCTTTGAATTTTAACTAGAATAATGAACGCATTCAAACAATAATATTTATAATTTATCATATTATATAACCCATGTTATGTTCATTGTTCAAACACTTAAGTTAAAAAATAAATGTATTTAAATAATTAAATATAATATATCAATATAATAAACATTTTCAATAATTATGTTAGGTATTGTGGATGGTACTGTGGATGGTATTGTGGATGGTATACTTGATGACACTATTGATATAAATAATCATTATAATATACCAGAAGAAGTTAATGCTATTAGTATTGCATGTATGTCATGTAAGTATATAAAATAATATATTAATAAGTAATTAGTATAATACAGTTTAAAATAGGTAAAGTATTTAAATAAAAGTATTTGATTCTTAAATACAAACACATCCAAGACCGTATTTAAAATACTTTCCAAATAGGTACTTTATTCGAGAAGTATTTAAAAAGTATTCTAAATACAATAAAAATATTTAAATACATTTACTCAAATACTTAACAAGACTGGACTATAATATAAATAATATAATACATTTTAAATTTAAATATTAATTTTTTTTTAGATGATAATGCCAAAAATGTTTCCAGTAATTTAAAAGATAAAATTAATTTGCATGTTGACTTAAAAGAAACTGTTCAGACTGATCACTTAAACAATACTCATTGTAAGTACCTATCAAATATAAATTAATTATAGGTATCTATAGTTTAAATTTTAAATTATTTATTTGTAGGTTTATCACCGGCCAAACAAAATCAAAGTAATAATGGTCTTGAAAATACTAATTCTACTTGTAAGTATAAAAATTAATTTTTTTCACAATATTTGGTGGTTAATGTTTTATTTTCAATATTTGTTATTATTAAAGCTGTTAAGGATACTACGAATATTGGTACAATACATCATGCAGATATTGATGATAACAGCTTTGATGAATTAACCGTTAAAGATCCATATTTTTGGCCAAGTAAAATAAATGATGATTTTGTGGATTATTGTATTAAAAAAGGGCCATCATTTTTTCAAAATAAACAAAAATCGTATACTCAATCTGCACGCATTAGTGGTAAATATAGTACTTAATCATTATTTATTTTTATTGTTATTACTTGTTAAATTTTTTTAATAATTTTCAATAAAGAATTTTTTTTAATAAAACATTCTTATTATAATTTATTTATGTTTATATATCATTGATGTTTAATAATTAAGTTAATTTATTTGATTTTTAGATCATAAAAGACATTTAACGCCTGCAATGTTTGAAAGAACTTTACCTAATGGACAAATATGTGATAAAAATCTATTACTTTCTTTTCCTAATTTGTATACTGCAATTAAAATATATCTAACCATACCTATTGCAAATTGTTCGGCTGAAAGAGCATTCTCCAAATTAGCTCGAATAAAAAACAAGTATAGAACAAGCTCTTCTCAAGAAAATTTAAATAGTTTTATGGTTTTGTGTTCAGAGAGTGATGTTTTGGAGGTAATTAATACCGATGATATAATTAAAGAGTTTGCTGCCCAAAAATCTAGAAAAAAATATTTTTAATAAAATTTTTATTTTTGTATTTAAAAAAAAAAATAAGAAATAAATTGATGAATATATTTTTTTTTCTGAAATATTTTTATTTGTGGGTCACCAAAATTTTGATTATGGATATGGGCCCCTAAAATTGTTTGGCCCCAGGCCCAAAATTATCTTAATCCGGGCTTGCACCCTCGAATCCACGTTTCGGCGGCCAAAATTGTAATATTACGAATAAGTAAAGATTTTTTGTAATCTCGGGTTAAAATTGTTTCGTATTTTGCGTGTATATCGTTATCGATTATCATTTATCTGACTATATAATAAGTCGATCACTGTTGTCGCATCATATTATGCGAGTCATAACTCGTTAATTCATTGTATTGGTATTTATTGATTTGCTCAGATCTATTTGTTCGTATAATACTCGATAGAAATAGTTACATGGACAATGTGCCGATTGAAACCAAACCTGTAGATTTATTTACAAAAAATTAAACCATACAGCGGTATAATGACGTGTTTGAAGGTATAACATTTGATGATTTTATATTTCGTAGGTTCCTACGGTGTGATATAGAAAAATAACACAATATAGTTTATGAGCGAAAAACCAAAAACTTGTATTGTAATTTTTTCTAAAGATTTAAATTTCTTCTTACACTCCTAAATCCGCGTTTCGACGGCAAACATTGTAATATTACGAATATGTATAGATTTTATTTTTTGTAATTTCGGGTTAAAATTGTTTCGTTTTTTTGCGTGTATCGTTATCGATTATCTGACTATAATAAGTCGATAACTGTTGTCCATAAAATATAACATTTTAAGTGGCTTTTAAATGCTTTCAGTGTAAAATTGACACACCTTGACAACATCATAAATTCATAATATTCGTTCAGCATTATTCGTCAGTCTTTTTCAGCATATTTTTTCACAATACACACTTTTTTAAATCATATAATAAACGTGAAACAGTAAGGTTTTGGGATTCTTTAATTTTATAAAATATTTCTCACTAATTCTCAGTGGTCACTTTTGACCTATACCTAAGTATATAAATTAGTACACCATAATTTTTTCTTTCTCTTTAAAATTAATTATTAATTATGATTTTTGTAATTAATATATTGTTTAAAACATCATCAATTGATGTTGGTATGAAAATTCGCAATTTGTATTAGTTTGAAAGAATTAAATAATTTATACGCATTATATGATCGTAGTATTTGACCCATAACCATAGACTGGTCAGTAACTTCATAACAACAGTTCTGAAGGTCAAAGATAAAGAGGAAAGCGATCGACAGAGAGAGAGCCGAACACGCAGTACAGCAATTAGTATAATATTTGAAGGATTTAAAATAGTTTCAAAAAACAGAGGAGATATGATATTATACTATACAGCCCAATTTTTTTACACCCACGCCCATGACAAAGCCTATTCGATAATAACTGAATGAAAAACATAGAATGGCATTTAAATCGGTGACATCATAATAATATTATCTATGATGAGTATCTATGTATATCATAATTTATAGTATAAATATTATTGTGTTTAAGCCTATAATCGAATTTAATATTTAAACTCAAAGTAAACGCAACTATATCTTTCGAGCGTCATTTAACTTTAAAAAGTTTGTCAGCCTTCGACGAACTTTTAAACAATTTTACTTTTGTCCCGTATGTATAGTTGTGACGATATTTATAATAATGACGTGGAATATTATAAATATAAAGTATAATAATATACAAACTATATTCTGCCTTGGAAAAATTTCATTTGTAAGAAGATTATAAAGTTTCACACTGTAAAATTCTTTAACTTTTTTATTTTTTTATCCTAATATTTTCGTACGAACACCTTCTTATATACATTTATGTTTGAAATAAAAATTACGTAGTTTTGAAATTGAGTGTTTCTTTTTAAAAACCATTCGTTCCAAATTTAATTGCAAAAATATGTAAATGTCGTTTAAACTACTTGTAAATTGATCACGTATAATACATATTACCGGCTCGACAGTCTCAAATTCCACAGTAAGTAAAAAAAAAATATAATATAAATCTATACCTATACGACTAGTATTGCCTATTAATTATTATGTCACACTACAAATCTATGGAATAATTTATATTATAAGGAAATTTCTGTTTCTAGGGGCCGGCTTCATTATTATTATAAAATTGTATTTTTCATAAGCTCGGCACCGCGACATTTATGATAATGCAATTCGAATATTTATATTTCGTCCGTTCGATTCCAGAGTTCAATGACGAGGGTATAGTGTGTGCTTTATTTTATTATATTTCCCAATAATTGTTGTTAAAACCGGCCCCGCCCGAGTTGTGTTTTATAATAATATTTCATCAAACTATTTTAATATTGATTATTATATTGTAGACGACGACATATTTTTGCATCGAATAATAATAATATGTTATGCCTATGGACGTGGTTGAAATTAAAAAATACCCCTTCTACAAATATTAACGGTATGATTAGGTAACAGAACACAAAAATACATATCGTCTTAATTTATGATGATCACTTAAAACATAACAATATTAGTGCACTGACACCGAATTCGTGTATGATACTTGAAACACATGTGTGTACGCTTATGAGTGTTTAATCAAATCAATAATAACCAAGTGATTCCGTAAGACCACACAAATGCCAAATCAATATTGACGGTTGAAATTAAAAACTTAAGTAGCAGAAAGTGGAACCTTTTGAATTTATCGGTATCGCTTCCGGTTCGGTTCTGGTTTTTTGATAAAAAAAAAAAAATAAAGATATCGGTTCCGTACGAAAAGTGCAGTGTGTAGTACGAAATTTAAAAGTATGTTATTCTAATAAATTAAACCTTTCTAATAATATTATGTACAATTTTATATCTTCACATTGTTTTTATATTTTAATGGTTTTTTGCCAAACCATGTTTTAATTATTATCTACTACACAGATGATACACAGTAAACAATATTTTGTGTTGTTACATCTTATACTCTTATTATAGTTATTAATTATTATTATTCATTGTTATTGAGAGTAGCTATTTTTATTATTATCAGCTTAGTTGTGAAATGTTCTATATAGTGTACTAGTGTTTATTTAGAAATAGTTTAGATTCGACTGATTTGGAAATATGTGTTCAGTACGAAAATTTGGATATTTGCAGGTTCCATATAATTATTAGGTACCGAAAAGTATAATAATTTTGAAATACTTATCCTTAACTCGGGTTTAACTAATAGTATGAGAAATATTAGAAAACTCATGTAACCATACATATAGCTTATATACAAATCAGGAACACCATTAAATTATGATAAATAAAACTATTTTATATTTGAAGATAAAAGAACCTATTTAATTTTAAAATCCCTGTTCGGTTCCGGTTCTTTATTTATTAAAATAATGGTTTCGGTTCCAGTGCCTGTTTAATAGATGACCTTAAACACAAACCGCCACACAAACATAAGGTTAGGTTAGTGTGGTGTATTCGAAAATACCACGTTATTATTATATATTATTTTTGTTGTTGTAGATAACGTATCTTTGATAACTCTCAACTTAACTACTATGAAGTATTTTACTATTATTTTTGCTTACCATTATATTATAATATTTCTTGTATTATGTTATTGAATATAAAAAAAAAATTTATAATAACATATTTATACATGCGAGTAGAGGTAATTTAATGAATAACGTTCAGGGTTTATTTACCTACGATCTACGTTAAAAACATATTATTATGTTCCACATTGTTGTGCACATCCATAAAATATATTAAAACATAAAATTCATTATTCGCATTGCGTTCTAGAACGGATTTTCGATGCGAGTCAAATGTAAAATAAATATTTTGACTAGACATATCCGCCCCGTAAACATAATTATTGTTATTTATACCGTTCATGTTTTTACCAATATTTACCTGAAGGTACTTACTAAGTAGTGTGCAAAATTCACATTTTGTGACGTGAACGCGATTAACGATTTAAAACGGAATTTTCTTCTTTTTTTTTTTTATCAAGCCAGCATACGATCAACTACGGGAATATAATATAATATTATTATTATAAACTGTAAATGGTGTGCAGAGAAAACATAATAATTTCCATCGTGATCGAATAAATTATGTCAGCAATTATGTCGTTCGGTGTACTTAATCAAATTATCACTTTGGAACTTCTAGAATATATACCTACAATTTGTAGTGAGTAATAGCAATGTGAAACGTTGTACAACTTAATTTCGCTTTAATTCGTTACTACCTACACAGTTTTTCCGCCGTCTCTTTAATTATTAAATAATTTGATTATTATTATGAATAATGGCGGTGTCTTCTGTGCGTCCCTATATAATAATAATAATAATAATAATAATAATATGTATATACATGTACGTAAAATATAATTTTTTATAAATAAATTATCAAAGTAGTTTTAACGCAGATTTTTTCATCGCTAAATAATTATAGGCGGCGTTTCTCGGCCACCGGGTGTATTAATTGTGTTTTAAAACTTTCAAAAAACTACCCCGAGTACACAATAATAATATCATCACGGCGCTCATTAAAATGTATAATTGAAATTACATTTCTGATGATTAAATTAATCCGTACGAAATGTCGTTATAGTTAGACCCAGTGATAATTAATATATTATTATTTCGGGTAGATTTCGGTTTTTTTTTTTTCATCGTATCTACACCGATTAATAACCTATTATTATTTATATTATTATCGTTCACAATTTATTTCATCCTATAAATTTTTTTCTGCAACTACAACTATATACCTACCTACCGGCCGGTACGTGACGATGACGCGTATCTTGGCGGCATTTGGAAAATTGAATCGATCGACACCGTACCGACCGACCACCGACCGTGACTCGTTTTTCTATCAGCCCGGCGTTATAGTAATATTATTATAAACCTAGGTGTGTACCCGTCTCATCTGTATTGGTACGTGCGGGCAATTTTAACAATAATAATAATAATAATA